AATTTGAATTAATGCAAATAACTTATAAATTATTCTAATTGTTTATTACATTTATTAAAGCACAGTTTTTTTTTATTATTATAATGGTTTTAAATTTATTTTATTATTTTTGAATTTTTTCAAAATATTATTTTACAGAATTTTTTGATAAATTTTTTGAATATTTTTGAATTTTTTTTCAAAATTTTTCGAAAAAACATTTTTTGAAATTTTTTGCATATTTTTTTGTTATTTGTTTGTTATATAAATTTTTTCAAAATTTTTTCATCCTTTAAAATTGTTGATATGTTTCATTATGTTTTAGAGTGAATAAATTATCAAACAATCTTTCATTATCAAATACTTGGTTAAGTTTATTTTCATAAGATCTGATATATTTTAGAATATACAATTTCACATATTTCATATCAAAACCTGAACAAATATTAAAGGGTTTGGGTAATGCTTTATTTTTCTTATCAAAAATAGTTGCAATATCAAAACTAGACATAATTAGTAATTATAATAATTTAGTAATTTATAGTAATTTAGTAATTTAGCGCAACTATCAACACTCTTTCCGCTGATCCTCTGTATACAAATTTACGTAAACAAAAATTATTAAAAAACTTCAAAAAACATACAAAGTCAATAAGAAACCAGATTTAAAGCTCTAAGAAAAAAGAAAGAGAATGGCAGAAAGCACTCAGTCTCTTAAGAGATTTGAGTTAGAGGAGCAAAGGCAGCAAGGATATAGAAGAAATCGTGTAAAACTATCAGTCTTTTTTGTTTTTTTGCAAATTTTTGAGAAATCAGCCTTGATCCTGTAATGCAGATCTATTTTGGTAATACAAGAATTACAAAATGTAATGAAGAATAAACAAAAGAAACACACCAAAAATCACATAACAAATATAAACAAAAATAGTAAACAATCTAAACAAACAACAACAATAACAAAAAACAATAACAGAAAAACAACAAGTCACGTGAAGCAAAAAATAACAAAATGTTCTGAAAGAATAATTACTGTATCAAAAGAATTTGAGGCACAAGTAGAGGCACTTGACGAAAATGAAGATATCTCAATAGACTTTATATTAGCAATATATGTTGGAAAAAACTTATTACAGAAGAAGAAGCTGAGGTACAAATGGCAGAACTTAATGAAGAATTATGAAAATATAATTCAGGTAAAATTAAGTATATGGAACTTGCATTTAGAAAAAGAAACAATCATAATACAAGAAAGATATAGTATTAGAAATAGTAGAATGAATTTTAATAGAACTTTTTAGAAATCAAAAGATTTTTATTGAAATAAAGAAAAGTTTCTAGACAAAAAACCAGGCTCTAGAAAAAAGAAGAAAAAAAAAAGTTTTCAAATACAAAATAAAAAAAAAGAAGAACCTGAATGGACTAATCAAGACATAGAAACAAAAGACCTGAAAGCTCATTTTTGACGAAAGGGAAAAAGAAGATGCAAATAGATTAATCAAGACCTAGAAGCAGAAGATTCAAGAATATTGTCAAGAAAGCTGGGAAGAGAGAAGGTTTATAGAAAAACACTCCCAGTGAAAATCTTTAGAATAGATGCTTTAGAAAAGGAAAAAGAATATGAAGCTATGAAACGAAAAGAGAAGTATAAAAAGAAAAACAATAGAAGACTCCCAAGTACCGGATCCCCTATCGGCTTGGACAAAATAAACTGGAAGAAAAGAAAGAAGCTTGAATATAAACAGAAAGAATTTAGCTATAATAGAGTTAAAATCAAAGCTAAATTAGATAGTAGAGTAGATTTAGATTTTTTTTGTAATAAAAAGGATAAAGTTGAAGAGGTTAATTATTGGTGTAATCTTGAAAAAAATTTCTTTAAATTGAGGCTATTTTATTATGGCTTCGCTGGCTAGCTTGGTGCAGTTTTCCAGTATGGGCAATGCCTTAACTGGTGAGGTAGACCGCATTTAGGCACCCAATAGGGCAGCTGAACGATGTCGGATCTGTAATTTAGATAGTTTAAATATATGTATATATATATGCTTTGATCTAATAAAAATACTAGCGAGGCTACCAATATGGAAAAAAAAAAATTTAGTAATTTAGCAATTTATAAAATTTATAATGATTTACAACAGTTATATACTATATTATTTTTTAGACCTATAGTTAGATAATATGCAATTCATTTTTATATCAAACATTGTAATCAATCAAATGTACAAAACTTGCTCAATATCAAAGAAGAAATTTTTGAGTATATCTATAATAAGTAATTTAAGTAGTTAATTGATTAACACAAAAATAATCCAAATACTAATATAATAAATCAAAAATAGTATATACTCAGCTTGGTTTAAGTGAAATATAACTTTACTCATTGATGATAATATAGATATATAAGGTTCTAATAGTAAGGTATTGCAAAGCAGGCCCATAAAGATGACTTAAGAAGTCATAAGACAAGTCTTCTAAATTTCAGGTATAATTTTTCTGGGTAGATACATTCAATCACTTTCTGTGATGTGGTTCAGTTGTTTAGAAAGTTTGTATTACCTTTCTCCTTACACATACCCCATATTGAGGATGACAATCGCACCTAAAATAAAGAAAAATGACATGTTTATATAAGTTTCAAAGTGAATACATTCAAACTATTTCTCATCTTATAGCTCAGTAGACTAAACTGTGAAAAGTTCATTGGGTCTTCCTCTCCTCACTACATAGACAATAATAGTTCAACAATCATGTTCTCAAAGCAGTGTTTTTATAAGTATAGAAAAAACAAAGTCAGAAATCCTATCACATAAAGTTATGGATGAAATTTTTTACATGATTATCAAAGAAGAAGTAAATTGTAGGGAGGTAATAGTCAGATCCTAGACCTGCCTCAAAAGGCTATAACTATACCTGAGAAGACTATATTAAAGGTATGATTAGATTGTATATTTTCATGAACCAGACAAATCACCTTCGTTAAAGCACAGAACTATCATGGTTCTGTTGAATTCCACAAACCCATATGAATAACTTAAGCAATCATCTTATCAATATGAAAATAATCTAATGTAAAAAAATAGAATATCGGTAAAAAATTTTGGTTATAGAATGAAAAAAAGATTTATATATGGAGATACTATTGCTTTATCTGTTATATATAAAATTAATCCAGGCTGTTCATCTACGTGGTTTACATATAATTGTTAGTCTTATATTTGTTTTTAAGGGCAGTTATTTAATAATCCATAAATATTTATATTTTTTTCTAATTTTACACAATGAATACTGAAATAAAGCACATATTAGATGTTCAATTAACACACATCGCGATTTTTGAGACTAAAAATTTCGATATGTTTGGCACTTCGGCTCATCTACAAATTTAGAATAAGCATCATAATATATACTGGGCTGTGTATATTCGAGAGCACAGGTTTGTTTTCAAAAATACTTAAAAATACTTGTAAATACTATGTACACTATTTTAATGCAACTACATTCTATCAACTGTAATAACAGAACTTTAAATTTCTGAATATTATTTATTAGTATGTGGTTTACTGTGATTTACTGCGATTTACTTCAATTTACTTCAATATAGTAAAATGTAGTTTTCAAGCGAGGACTTATATTTTTCAAGTATATTAACCTGCTATAGATATTTTTTAGCAAATATGTCGTACGTTGGAACGGAATTATTGTGGATTTAAAATCTATCTAGGTAGATTCTAAATAAACATAGGTTGCAATAGAATTCTAAAATGTATTCAGGTTGTTAAAGAATTCCAATTCAACTTACAATAAAATTAAGTAGATTCCAATTATTTTATTGAATACATTGTTTTGGAATTTAAGTCGCTTTAAAATAATACGTATTGATTCATCATGCATCAGCAAATTAATTCAATTTATTTAAAGCATTACATATTGTTTTGACATTTATAATTACGAGGATGACAACTACTATTGTATGGTACTCTTATTTTTTTACATTTACAATGGTTTTTGTCACATGAATTTTTGCAATTGCATTTAACATTGCCTATTTGTGAAGAAGATTGCATAATCGATGCCTCTCGGACGCTTATAAGCGTTGAAGGAATATTATCCAATTCGGGAAACTTGTCAGGACCCAAAGAAAGAAGTTCATTAGCGTTATATGTAACTTTAATAATGCCGGATTTGCATCCAAGTTTATATGTGTCATTTTCTGATACTTCGAGAATTTTGCATAGGAGTGTTTTTCGGTCATTGTGTGTTCTAGGAATTTTGATATGCACTAAATCTCCAACGTTGTATTTGTTGTTAAATTTTTTATTACGTTTGTTAAGTTGTGACTTCATGTTATCATGATATTGTTCGAGTGACTTTGTAGCGACGCTTCGATAAATTTCATGAGCTGATGTTTTTTGAACATTTTTCCTATTCCATTGAGTATGTTTAGAGCTAGGTTTATCTAAAAAGGACTGCAAAATAAAAATAAATTTAACTTATACTATGTACGAAATTAATAAACGTGTAATTACCTGAGCATTGATGCCTGTATTGGTAGCCGTCAAAACAGTAGATTTGTGCCTCTTACTTGGACAAATGTCAAGAACATTTTCAGATAATCTTCTACCAACTGCTTCATTTTCAGGTAAACTTCTACCAGCCGTTTCATCCTCAAGTAAACTTCTATCAACTAATTCATCTTCTAATACTTCGGTCAAAATGCTTTCGTCATCAGATATCTATTTATATAATTTATTAATTATTAAAAAAAATTTTTTTTTATTAAAATGATAATATTAAATACTTACATTTATCGCTGCATTTTCTTTTTCAGTTACCATTTCGTTCAACTTCTCACCTAGCTTTTTATTTATTCTTTTATTTAATCGCTCGTCTAACCTTTCATTCATAATATTATCCAACATTTCATCGTTCATATCATCCAATGTTGCATTCATTATCTCATCGTCCAATTCATTCTCCAATTCATTCTCCAATTCATTCTCCAAATCATACTCAAGCAATTGCTGTTCCTAAAAGAATTAAATTAAAATAAATAATAATTACATTTTATAAAAAAAAAAAAAAAAAAAAAACTACCTTGATGTTTAATGCTGCGGCTCCTAAAAGTGACTCTACGACTTCTTGCTGATCAAAATCATCTCGAGGCTCGAATGCTTCAAACCAGTTCTCAGGTAACTCATCTTCTAAATTAATATGTTGATCTTTGATTTCTTTTAATATACTAAAATGGCGTAAAGGGTTTTGTCCAAATACTAATGCATATGGACTATTTTTAGTTTGTCTAGATGTTTGGATATTCATTGCATCTATGTATCGGTATTAAAAATATTAAATTAAAATCAATAGTAATAAAGTGCGTCATGTGATGTTCCTAGCGATTTGTTATCCCCGGGTTCAAAAAAAATTCAAATTAAAATTTAAAGAAACAAAAAATCAAAAATTAATATTTACAACAGCATAAAGGCACTGCTCGAGACCAATCCTTCCTTCCGGTATCTTCTATCCACTTGGATACTTTTTGCTGAAGAATATCGTTTGCACGTTCCACAAGCCCCTGGCTTTGTGGATGCCTTGGACGGCCATTAATTATATGAACGTTGGGCCAAATAGTTAATAATTCTTTGATTATTTCTGCTGTGAACTTGCGGCCATTATCACTTTGAAGAATTATTGGAGCACCAAAACAAACGAAAACATCGAAAAGAAATACAGCAACCTCAATTGGTTGCTTACTTGTTAAAGCCCGGGCCCAAGAATACCAGGTAAAGTGATCACGCATATGACAAATATAACGGTAATTGCCGTCAGGAATACTAGTCATACAAATCAAGTCGACCTGAACCCTATTAAGAAAAGCGCTAGAAATTATCGGCTTTCCAGCCACTGGATTAGGAAAATTTCTTCGTGTTGCACATGTTGTGCAATTTTTTACAAATTCTTTAACGAAGGATTGCGGAATATAGCAATATTGTTCTGAAATCTAAAAAAAAAAAAAAAAAAAAAAAATTAATATTTTATAACCTTACAAATTAATAACCTTATCAATTAATCTGTAGATTATATACTGCTTCCCAGAGTTTTGTTAAACCAACATGTTTCAAGACCCCTTGATGTAAACTGCACAATATTTCATATAACTTGTCAACGGGCATACAGGTAGGTTCGAATCAATTTTTATAAGTTGCAATATGGGATTAGCGGGTGTTCCAAGGTCACGTAAAGCAAACGTCTTTTTGGCCCAGAAACAATCTTTTGCATTTCCGATCTTGGTATTTGCAGGGTCCTGTAAAACGCTAATACAAAAATCGAAATCTTCACATGTAATGAAAGTTTTACGTCGTCTATTAACGGATCTGGTATCAAGAAATTTTCCGAGCAACTCTTCGAATGAATCACGAGATAAAAATGGATAATCCTGAGATTCGGCCATCAAAGAGAAAGAATTTTAAAAGGAATAAAAAAAATTTTTTTAAAATTTTTTAAATATTTATAGAAAATTTGCATAATTTATTTCTTTATTATACGTAATGTTAACCATCGTAACTATCATAAACTATCATAAACTATCATCTATGTATTAATCAATTACATATTTATTATGCATCGATCAGTTTAGAATCAATTTTAGGTGGAATCTAAATTTCGTATCAACTTAGACTACATTTGGAATTCTATTCCAACCTAGATGGATTCTAAATCCACAATAATTCCGCTCCAACGTACGACAAATATAATAAATTCTTATAGTATTTTGTTTAGCGAAGTATAATTAATTGCTATTAAATAGTATTTTGTTCAGCGAACAGAATAAATTAAAGTCAACTCTTTCTATAACCAAATACCGGTTTTGGAAA